TAGCAACACATGGTAGCTAACAATGAAACACCTTCTTAAACCATTTCTAGGTGCTCTCCTTAAAAATATGGGAACGAATGAACAGGAAGAGAAAATCCGGCAAGAAAAGCTAACGTGGAAAATCTACTGCTCTTCCTGAATTAAAAAAAAAAATCACCTACCTTCCCTCTCCCCATGATTTAAAGAGTAGCAAACAATGAGCGTCTTTTAATATTCTTTAGAAATAGTTCGCTCTTCCCACATTGTCTACCTTAATTGGAAACTTTTAAGAAATTTAGTTATTTAACTATCCAAATTACTGAACTCAGCTCCTTCCTGAGGTTCTGTAGTAGAAAAAAAATTCATCCCTAACATCCCAAGATATAACACAAGGAAAGAGCTTATTCTCATCCCTTGTTTACAACCACCAAGACAGTAAATTATGCTGTCACAACAACTCCTTCTCCACTTTACAAATCCTCTAGATACTCCTTATCACATGACAAACCACATACCCACTCACAGCTCTAAGACCAAATATTTTTTAAAGAAAATGTGTTTACAAGACCCTAAACCCAGATTATACACACAGTATAATCTCTTTCACTTTAATTTAAGGTACATGAGCAGATAAGCAACACCAAGAATATAATTGATAGCCAGACCTATTTATCTCCATAAGATACATTCTGAGCTACTGAATTCCCCATTAATAGTCTCCAGCTCTTGAGCTAAAAGTGTGTACTTGGAAAGACCCAAATGTATTTCTTAAATGTGTCAGTCAATCAACATTTCAATTATTTGTCCTAAGTGTCACTTACTTTGTCCATTATATGGAGTTCCTCCATAAAAACAAGCTACTGTCAGCTTCCTTGTGATGTCCTTGAAATCTTTGGCAACCTGATTTGCCAGCTCTCTTGTTGGACAAAGGACTAGAACCTACATAGAAGAAAGACAAATAGATGTTCTCTCAGCATGGTTTCTGCCAAGAAATCACTAGACTTCTAATCATCGATTTAGACCTGACCATTTACAAAATTAAAATAAAAAAATCTAGTTTAAATAGTCACTTAAGCAAAGGTTGGAGAAACACGCTGCTTGAGCCTCATGTAACATCATTAAACTCCTTCAAAACATACTCATTTGGGACAGGCTAACTTCTTTTTAAATTGGGTAGGAGATACTTAAATCTTACTTAAGTTTAGCTCCTGAACAGATCAGAAGCTACAAGCCTCCCTCTACAAGGTTGCTGTTTGAGTACAAGACTGAAGGATCTGGGTAATACAAGGCTTTTACACCCGCTCAGTAATGACCCACAGTCCTGTGAGAAGATGTAAGGAAGAGCCATCAGCTGTCCCTTGGCTTCCCTGTGACTCAGATGTTCCACCTGCAGAGCTGTGTTCAGTGCTAAAACACATCCCTGCAGAAGCACCCAAGGAATTCTCTCTCCAGTACACAGGCTTCACTGCAGGCATGTAACTAATTCAGCTTAACATGAGATGGAAGTACTGCTCTCAAACCTGGCATCAGTGGCTTCACAAAAGGAACCTTAAAATCTTTATCCTGGTACCCATTACCAAAAAAGCAAATAGTAGTGTATTATGGTAGAGTGAGGCCTGAAATCTTTTTGAAGGCTCCCTGAAAGCTTTCCTTTCCTTAAAGGACTGCCAAATCTAGGGACAGCATTCTCAGTCAGCCAGCCAACATGATGGGCAGACGCATCTAAAACTGCTAGTACTACTTTTGGAATGCACCTCAGGTAATCTATGAGAAGGGTGACAAGATGAAATAAACTGACAGAAATTATTAATGGGGACACCATGAGCCTTGGCCTATCTCGTTTAGGAGGCATCATAAGAGTTCAGAGAAAAACCACACGAGGTTTTTAAACCACACTGGAAGAATGCACACAGATCATAACGAATCTGCATTCTCTGGAGCAGAAGCTTCAACATTTGGTGGTGGCCCTTGTGAAAACTAAGTCTGTTTTTAAAACCACCCACTGTTTACATGTTTAAAAAAAAAAAGCCTGTTTAAGTAGACAGCTTTTATCAAGCTGTCAAGTTACCATTAGTAACTAATCTATTCCTAATCTGGGAGAAAAACAAGCACCCAGTAACCTGTGGCCCTGTGGGGTGACTGAACAAAACTGCAGAGGAACACGTGGCACACCTGTGGTTTCGGTCTCCCTGTGGCAGAACAAGGAACTGACAAGTGGGTAGAGCTGTCGTGCTCTGCACTGAGCAGAGGCTGTGAGGCAGCACAGGGCACAGGCAAAGCCCAGTGAACACAGATTTCAAACAACCTTTAATGTGGGTTGGCTTATCCCTGCACAAACCTGAAGAACTTCCCCAGTGGGTTAAAATCTGAATCACTGGGACGCAGGACAAAGCGAAACGAGCATTCTACCTCGGCACAGTTACCTTGGGTGGACGGCCTCTTCTTCTTTCCTGGGACTCTCCCTGAAGCTTTTCAATTAAGGGAATGGCAAAAGAGAATGTTTTTCCTGTTCCAGTTCGTGCCTGAGCAATGACATCTTTGCCAGAATACACTGGGTTGAAGGTCTTCACTTGCACAGGAAACAGGTACGTCACTCCTCGAGCTGTGACAATTGCAAGAGATTTCCTTAATATGATCATTTTACAGGTGTTCTTTCATACTCTTCAGTGGAAGTTATTCCAATCAGCATTTCCATCAACTCTAAGTCAGGATTATATCATCACCTCCACCAATTTATTTATTACAGGGGTCATCTGCAAAGTGCCCTGAGTCTGTCCATTTTATTCTACTTCATATCACCACACACAGTACCAGCTGGGACAGATGAAATTATCAGCCTTTATGGGAGACTTTGAGGACTGTGCCTTTATTTTTGTAATAGTCCCCAGCTATCCATGAAAACCTATTCGTTTCAAATCTCAAAACCTCTTCCATTCTTCTCTTAATTCATACTAAGTCATGTACAACCTAACATCAAAGATACTAAATATAACTGGTTTTCCTTTATTCACAACAACATAACCTTTAATTGAAAAATTCTCACACATCACTAATTTTTTCCCCTTAGCTTATGTCATTTAGAATTCTACTGTAAAGGCTGAGCTGGGCAACACTGCAAACAGAAAAGTCTGTGTTCCAAGGTGTATGCAGAGCAGGCAATCCCTGTCTCCTGCACAGTGCCCCTGCTTGCATATGCACGAGAAGAGCACACCTCAGAGATCACTGGTCCAGTATGTTGGGCATAAAAACACATGACAGAGATCACTGAGGTTCTTTTTTTACCTTGAAGAAGCTGGACAGTTTCTTTGGAAATAGAAAAATTGGAGAAAGCCCCCTCTTTCTGTTCGCCAGTCAGCTCCTGTTGGGTAAAGAATAATTTGGGTAAGATTCCACATGAGTATCAAGTGACTGTCAGTAAATCCAAGGTAACAGCACAGGCACTGGTGTCACACGCTTCAGTGACAGCATCCCAGCTAAAGGCCTTTCTTTGATTTACCATCATACCTTGAAGTTGGACAAAGTTAGCAAGCAATCTGTAAGTGGAGACTGTTTCATCTCTAACAGCATAGTAAATGCAAAACACCCAAACCAAAACTCTGAAAACTCTGAATTAGAATGGTAGAATATCCTTAGTTGGAAGGCACCCACAAGGATCACCAAGTGCAACTCCTGGCTCTGCACAGAACACCCCAACACTCATATCTAACGATGCTGAATCATATCAAAGCTCCATCTCACTGCAACCTGTCTGTCCGACAAAGCTGACAGACTGCTGAAGTGACGAAACTCTGGTGCACTGATCTGGAACTTCAGGACTTTCTTAACTCAAAATTTTTGCAAATAATCAACGGAATGGACAATTCAAGAAGCTTTAAACCCTGATAATTTACAGCACTTTCAGCTGATTGGGAGGGGGGGAAAGGATAACCCATTCTAAATCTGGCCTTGTTGCAAGACAGGAGTTGAAAGCTGCACACACCACTTAACTAAACCAAATCGCTGGCTTTACCTGCTCCTGCTCACTCTCACTCTCGCTGTCACTTGACGTCTCACTAGAACTGCTCTGCCGGCTCTTGCGGGAGGATTTGCTGCTTAAGGAAGACAATTTCGGTTTCTCCAGGCTTTCTTCTCTCGCATGACCGTTCTGTTTACTGACAGTCTTCGACTTCTTAACTTTCGGGGCATAAACTGCCTCATCCGATTCCTCGCTTTCATCTGTCGGAGCCTTCCCCCTCTGAAACTTGTCCCGGCGTTTAGATTTCTTCTCTTTTTTCTCCTTCTGGCAAGGCACAGAGCAAATGAAAACACGCGCTCGTGGATCCAAGGACAGGGAACAGGGAAGAGGGCGCGGAACAGTTAAACCTTGGAGCGCACGTTCTAGTTACTGCCGAGGGGGGGAACAGGTAGAGGGCAACAGCCCCCGCCCGCCGCCGAGCAGAGGCGCGTTCCCCCCACGAGGCGCCCGGGCCCCAGCGCTCGGGGGAAGCGCTCCGTGGGCTCCCGCCGGGCCCAGCACGTGCGGCGGGGCCGCGGCCTGGCCCACCCGCGCACGTGGCGCCCGGCCCCGGTCCGGCCCGCGGCCCCGCCGTGCCTCCCGCGCCCGGCCCACGGCACGGGCGGCGCGGGGCGGCCGCCGCCCGAGGCCAGGCCCGCCGGGCACCGGCTCCAGCGCGCGGCGGCGGCCAGGCCGCTCCCGGAGCCCTTCCCCGGTACCTTGTGCCGCCGGCGACCGCTCTCCAGGGCCGCCTCCGTGTCCATGGAGCAGTCGGAGCCCGACTCGGCCCCGCTGCCGCTGCCGCACCGCGTGGCCTCGGGCATCGCCGCCGCTCCGCCACGCCGCGCTCCGCACCCGCCGCGCGCCAGCCGCGCCTCACGCTCCGAGCGGCCGCCGCGCCCACAGCCAATCGCCGGCCGATCCGGCGGCGCGGGGGAGGGGCCTCTCCACCCGACAGCCAATCGCCCGCGGTCCCCTCGGCGGGACCACAATTCCCGGCGTGCCCCGGGGGACAACGGGCAGACTCCAAGCCCCGGCGGCCCCCGCGCGCCCTGAGGGCGCGGCCGCCATGACGGGCCGCCATGAGGAGTCGGCCCGGCTCCTGCGGTCCTCCCAGCGCCGCCTCACAGAACCCGCCCGCAACCACAGCTCCGCCAGCTTTACAACCCCGTGACTTTTAGTTTCCGTAACTATCGCAGACACGTGTTCGGTAGCGAAGAGCCTAACGTAGGGAACGGCAGAATGACCAAATGCCTCTAAGACCTTAAAAGGACCACACGCCTGTGGTGGTCAGCTGATGATGACCAGACCACAGTCTGGTCGTACCTACAGGGAAAAATCGGGTTTAAGAAGTCAAAATGAGTCTTACGAGCTGTGGAGGGATCCTGCCGGCCGCCAGGGTGTCGATTTCTCAAGGAAAGAGGTGTTTGGGAGCAGAGCAGGGCTTCTCCCAAAGCAGTGAGAGTGACCTGCCCTGTCGTCTCCTGCACCAGCACGTTTTCATTTGCAAAGACCAAATCCTGCTTGCCAGATACAAACACACCAAGTAGATCGAGGAGCACAGCTGAGAGCTCTGCAGGATGCAGTGAGAGAACCTTGGGATTGCAGCAATTTTTGTAGTAACCAGGTGCGTGTCTAGTTCGTTTGCTTTGCACACTTCAGGGAAGATGAAGTGTGCTCTCATTCCTGTGCCACAAGTAGGAAACCCATTCCAGAATTATAGTGTAAAACAGCCCTGTCCAACTGCAGTTCCTACTAGAGCAACACAAACCCTTTCCAGGTCAGTTGTGTGGTCTGAATGAAGGATGCCAGTTCTCATTTTTATTATCGCAGGGACACAAAGAATAATTAAAGGCGAGTGCAAACAAAATACACACGAGCTCTCCAAATACTACGGTCAAAAGTCTGATCTAACAGCTTTGATTTAGAGACTGATGTGACTGACTGCATTTACAGGATGATTACCTTGTTACAGAGGGAAACTTTACAAAGCTCATTAAAAAAGAATCAGGTATTCATGACCAGGGTTAGATGTAGGGGGGAATTTTGTTGCAATTGTCCTTCTGCTTGTCCTCCTCTTCACGTTATTATTTATGCTTTTAGAATTTTGCAGGAAGCTTCATCTTCTTTTCAGTCCACCTAAAATAATAGAATTATTAGAGGTCAGACCACATTCCAGGAACTGAGTTGGCCTAGCTTCTGGTGCCACAGGTGGCATCCGTACAAACAGTAAAAATGACCCTCTGAAATATATTTTCGTAAAGATTTCAAGTTTTACTCATGTATTACTCATGTCCAAGTAATATGCAGGGAGTGTGTTTGAAAGAGTGCACAGCCAAAAGCTGCTTAAGGGAAAATTTAAAAATCAACAGAATTTCCTTAGAAACTGTAGTATGTGATTTGTTTCTTCAAATACTGGCTTTTTAAGGTGACAGTACACATCTAATGAAGACTCAAATGGTTTAAATAAATACCAGTCATTAAAGATATTAATATGTGTTGCTATTAAAAAAAAATGATGTGATTTTTGCCCTCAGCAATTTTTAACGTATGTTCTAGCCAACTTAGTTAACAGTTTTGTAGGCCTTCTCCACATACAACTCTATGAAAAATTGTTTCATACCAACTTGCTTTCCATTAAGGGATTTTTCAAGCACAGTTACAGGCAAAATGTACACTGTGAAAGGAAGCAGAAGCTTGTAGTTCAGGCAGTGTACACATTCTTCTGTCAATTGTGAGCAAGTCAAATGGTGTTTTCTACTTTAAATTTGGATTAGACACCTCTCTCTATACAGCACCTTTTATTCTTCATCTACAGCTGCAGAAACTTGAACAGTATCTGCAATGTAATATGGCAACATCTCTGTGAGCTGAACCTGCCTTCTAGCAGGAGTTTATCAAACACTGTGTTTAACACTGAGTTTATCAAACACTATGTTTCTTAACGTCTCTGCCCTTGGCCATCTCCACCTGCAAGGCAGAGCTCATGTTTTCTTGCCTCATGCAAAGTATTAACAGCAGCATTTGTCTAAATGATTTAGGGAGAATGTCCTTGTAAAAAACTGTACAGTTTGAGTATTTCTGGGTCATAACACTGAAGTTTTCAAAGATAATAATTATTTTGTTTTTGGGGAAGGGGGGGGTTATGATTTACAGCAATATTTCTGCCTAAATCTGATGGTCAATTTGAAGATAAACCAAACTTAGTTTCATGTGTTTTCTTACCTTGGGGAGTCAATTCCACTGTCTCCTGTAATGCTGGGGCTTTCTGTCCCTTCTGAGTGTTTCTGTCCTGAGATCACAGAACATGTGTTCTTAAAAACCAGCTCTTTTTTTCCCAGAGGGTTTCCCGTTTCTTTGCTCTGGGAGCCCAAAGCACAGCATACCACTCCTCCTCCTCCCACCTCAGGGGGGAAGTTGTGCCCGGTGTCAGCATCTGAGTGAGCCTCGGCAGCGAGGCAGGAACCTGCCACAGCTGGGGCCTTCCCACCCTCAGGGAGGCCTGTTCCTTCAGCCTTTCTGTGACCTCTCGGAAGAACCTGACTGCACAACCAGCTTTCTTCTGTGAAGTCTGGTTTGGGGTGCTCTTTGAAGCCATCTGTTGACTCTGCAAAGCTACCGCTTCCCTTACATTCATGCTCTCCGGAGTCACACTTATTAACAGTTGTGTTGTACTGGGTGGGACAGTTACTAACCTTCCAGGATTTTAGGGACACAGCTGCACTCCAGTCTCTTGTGTCTGGAAAGGCATGGCCAGGAGGCAGGGGATGATATGGCTCACGGCCCTCAGAACTGTCATCCAGACATAACAGGTTACAGGTGTCCCCATCGGGTGTCCCCATTTGGTTCTGAAGGAGGCAGTTGTCAGTAAATCCCTCACTTTCCAGATTCATTGCCCCGTGATGGCTGGCACAGTCATAGTTAAATATAAACTCACTCTTTTTATCAGTCTTTTTTCTGTATTTCACGCCATTTTTTTTGACCAGGTTAACATTGGCTGTATAATTTGAAAGATGGACATTTTTAAATTCATTTGCTGTTTGATCTAATAACTCACGTACAGTGACAGCTTTGCCTCTGCAACGCTCATCTTTCAGACAGAATGAAAGCTTTGTGACTTCTTTGCACACACCACTATGTTCAGTGTAGAAGCAAGGGGACTTTTTAATATCCCCAGGACTTTTTTTTAGCGTTCTTCCATAGGTGTTTTCTTCAGAACTATTACTCTCCAGAAAGTGTTTACTTTTATTGTCTATTTGCAGGTTACCGCCTTGCAGACAGCTACAGTTTTCACTTACGCTGTCTTTCTGGAGTTGGAGGCAGGACCTGTGAGCCTGGGGTGGGTGGTTTTGCTTAGCTCTGTCAGCCAGCTGCCCAGTTTTGTAGCCAGGGGGTTTCCAGGAGGCTGAGGGCTGTGGCCTGTGTGAAGCCCTTCCTTGACCCCTTGTCCGGCTCTTCAGGTGCCTGTTGACACCTCGGTACCCCCGCGCGTAGAAGCTGCGTCTCCACGGCAGAGCCGGGAAAGGATTCGTAATCTGCTTTTTATAGAACACAGAGGACTGCACTGCTGCAGCAGGGGGCTCTTGGTTTCTGACAGACGGTGAAAGGCTCTCTTCCACTTCCACATTTGGGGATGTCAGCTCCTGTATGGGGGATTTCCTGCTGCTTCTGCTGATCTGCTTCTCTTTCTTTGATTTGGTTTTCCTGGTGCGTTTTGCTGTTTTACTCTGTGCCTTTTGAATACAATCCTTTGAAAGATGGTTTTGCCTGACTACTGACACTTCAGCTGAGGTACCATTACTGATGTATTTTTTCTCTTTCCTGATGTATTTTTTCTGCTCCTCGAGCTTCTGCATTAATATTGTGTGTTTAATCAAATTATCAACGGTAAGAGTAGGGTTAATACGCTTGATGATTTCATGTTCTATATCACGTGGAATATTGTCCAAGTCATCTTCATCCCTGACTGGCCACTCCCTGGGAGGAAACTGGGCTGAAAAAGTGGAGTACTCCTTCTTGTGTTTTTCTTTTTTGGAAAAACTTCTCCAGAAAAGGCCAAGGCCAAACCTTTTGCTTTTCAGTTTTGCTTTCACAGATGTCAGGGATTTGCTGGTGTCCCAGGAATGATTTTCAGCAGATGTGCAGATCTCTTGAGTTTCAATTGAAGGCTTCAATTCACTGCAGTCTTTCTTTCCCTCTCCCTTAGGTTCATGGTTCACTAGCTGCCAGTGTCTTTGTTCACAGAGCATATTTTGGACAGGGAAACAATGGCAGGATCTGTAACAGGATGCTGTAGGAATGTTTTCTTTCACTAGGTTTGCACAGTGCTTAATGTTTACCAGATAAGTGATGGAAGGTGATGAACAGCAACACCTGTCCTCCACCAGGACCCTTCTGTTGTCTTCTGTGGTCTTATTGGTGATAAAGTATGTGTTGGGAGTCACAATGAAGTATCCTTCTCCCGTATGATAGATCTTCCTTTCCTTAATTAGAGTGCCAAGGATATTATATAAGATACTGTGGGAGGGAACTGCAATGCCTACAACGAAGAGACAGATATTTCAAAATAGAAATAAGCTTTCAAATAAAACGGGTGCTGGCCAAAAAATTACTTACATACAACAGACCTGGAAGGAACTGCACATGAAATACCCAAAGCCTTTAGGGAAAGGTCAGCTGTGTTTCTGGCTGTCACTGCAGCACTGCTGGGAGAGAGCTCAATGTGTTCTCCTCAAATAAGCAAGGGTGTTCTCTTTGTGTCTGTCAGGGTATGATATTTGTGAGAGAGACCTTCTGCCAGGTGCAGAGCAAACAATGTCTTGTTCAAAGCATTTCCATCCTGGCATGTTATTCAACAATTACTTTTACCACTCTCTCTGAAGCTTCTGGTATAATTTGGTCAGATGACAATTTATTACCTCACTGAGACTGGTCTCAGCTACTGGTTTTCCATCAGGTGTCACAGTCTCAGAGTCCTTAGTCTAGTCACAGCTGATCTCCTGCCACGGGAATAAAAACTTCCAGCAAGGTGAAAATACAGCAAGAAATACATTGAGTCCCTACAAACTTTGAGAGTGCTACCGCTGGGTGACCTAAAAAAGCTACCTTGTGCTTGTCTCAGTGCACATGTGGACTACATCATGTTCCTGGCAGGGGTCTGGGCCAATTTGTGGGGTTGCACTGACATTTTTCCCACTGGTATGAATGCCTAGCAGATCAGCCTGTAACATTTACAGAGTTGTAAGGTTAAGAGGACTCAAAAGAAGCAGCTCAGTATCTAACAAAGGAGCCTCCTGAGGGGGCCATACTGAGCCTTTATGAAGTCTCACATGCAATAACACTTCAGTATTGCAGACCTGAGGGAAACTGAACATTTTTCAGATGTAAAGAAAATGGAGCATTTAAGGGAAGTGGCTGCTACCCCATCAGAAGAAAAGGACCAAAGCTCATTTATTGGAAGTAATTTGCTTTCAGGAAGGAGGGGGCTGGAATTTGACCAACAACCCCAAATTCGAGGCTGATTATATTTTTTGGTAGCAAACACCTACCCAGTCCCTTTGCAGTCAAAGTCAGCTGTGTTCCTGTCTCCCCCAAAGGAGGACTTGGAGTCTCTGGGATCTGACACAC